GGTTCTGTACAGATTTTTTTTTTAAGTTTCTTCTTTATTGACCTTTTCCTCATGGTGACATAATGCTTTCTTAAGCTCCATCTATCATATCTGCATTCTTGGCAAGAGGAAGGGGGTAGAAGGGTGGTTCCACAGCACCTTCTTTGGAAACTGCCCTGGCAGACTTACTGGGGCCTATTATAACCCGAGGCACCCCCACCAACACACATACATACACAGGAAGAAGGGAAACTGTGATTGGCTTAGACTAACTTTCCTTCCTCAGCAGCTAGGAAATTTTCTGCTCCAGATAAATTTCAGATTCTGTTAAGCTAAGAGAAAAGAAAAAAACTAATTTTGAATATGCAAACAGTAGAGTCTCCCATAGTTCTTCAGGGGCCAAAGCCAAGTGAAATGATAAAATCTCTCATTTTCCAACATGACAATGATGATGATTTTGATCAAAATTATTACTACAACTTTAAAAAAAAACTATGGAAAATGGCATTAATAAATAAATACATGAGAATTTGCCAATATATTTCAGAAGCCTTTGTGGTTTGCATATCCTTTGATCCATGGGTTTCATGACAGGAATCTATTCTAAGGAAAAAACTGTAACTGAATACAAAGATTCACTACAAAGATTTTTCCTGCAGTGTCATTTATAATAGCAAAAGACAAAAAAAGAAAGAGAAAGAGAAAGAAAGAAAAGAACCTAATGTCCAGCGATAGGAAATATGTGTAATGGATGCATACCTACATATAGAAAAATAACAGAAATTTATGTGGCTAGTCCCTGTCTCTGGGTGATGGAACTGTAGGTTTAAAAAAATTTTTTTTTCTAAATTATATTTTCCAAATTTACAAGCATATATGCTTTTTTTAATAACGAGAGGGAAATATTAGAAAACATAAGCCCTAGCCGGGCTCGGTGGCTCAGCCAGTAATCCCGCACTTTGGAAGGCTGAGGTGAGTGGATTGCCTGAGCCCATGGGTTCGAGACCTGCCTGGGCAACTTGGCAAGACCTCCTCTCTACAATAAATCAAAAATCAGCTGGGCGTGGTAGCACGCGCCTGTAGTTCCAGCTACTTGGAAGACTGAGGCGGAAGGATCGCCGGAGCCCAGCAGGTCGAGGCTGCGGTGGCCGGGAGCGGCCACTGCCCTCCAGTCTGGGTGACAGAGTGAGACTCCAACTCAAAAAAAAGAAAACATAAGCCTTGGAAGGAAGGGATTTTTTTTTTTTTTTTAACCAAAGGAGAGTTATTAGGAGTCTCTCATGACTGGAGTTTTTCTTCTAATAGGCTATAAGAGGAAACAGTCTCCCTGTGATTTTCTTAAGGCTCTCTGGGTTGTTTCCAGTGTTTCATTTTTGTAGATAATGCTGGAATTAACATCTTTGTATTGAAGTCCTGTTTTTCTGCTTCATAGTCTCAATTATTTTCACAGAATAGTTTCCCAGAAGGGATACCTAAGGGATACCACTGGGTCAGTAGGTATAAACTTTTTTTTCATTCATGATACATATTTGCAAATTGCTTCTCAGTGGGGCTGTATCAATACATAACGCTACCAGAAATATCTTGCCAGCACAGGGTATTATAATTGTCTTTAGTGTTTGCTAATTTAGCAGACAAACAATGGTACTTCATTATTTTGATTTGCATTTCCCGTGAGTCTGAGGGGTCTTTTCTGTAAGTTGTTACTGCATTTTTTATTCATAAATTTTGCCATTTATCCATTGAGATATTCATATTTTTCTTTTCAGTTTGTACAAACTCTCTGTACTAAAGAAAATAGCCCTTTTCCTGTTGTACTAGCCTAACTATAGATATTTTCCCCAGGCTGTTGTTTCCCTTCTGGTTTGGTTTTTTCCTTTTATATTCAAAAACTTTGAATTGTTATGTAGGGAAGTCTATCACTTTTGTGTTTTTCTTTGTTTTCTTCCAAGTTTAGAAAATTACCTTCCTACCTCTCAAACAGAGGTTGATACAATTCAGAGGTTGATACAACAGAGGTTGATACAACAGAGGTTGTTCAATTCTGTTCTATCCAGATTTTTTTCCTTTTGTTTTTTTTTTTTTTTTGAGTTGGACTCTCACTCTGTCACCCAGACTGGAGTGCAGTGGCCGCTCCCGGCCACCGCAGCCTCAACCTGCTGGGCTCCGGCAATCCTTCCACCTCAGCCTTCCGAGTAGCCGGAATTATAGGCATGTGCTACCTTGCCCGGCTGATTTTTTGATTTATTGTAGAGATGAGGTCTCACTGCCCAGGCGGGTCTTGAACCCGCGGACTCAGGCAATCCACTCACCTCAGCCTCCCAAAGGCGCGGGATTACAGGCTGAGCCACCGAGCCTGGCTCAGATTTTTTTCTTTAAATTAATCTAGGAACATTCAGATTTTTTAAAGTTTGATTAAAAAAGAAATGCCCCTTTAACTCATCAGTAATTTATCATGCTATGGGGTTGTGGTAAGGAGTTAAGTTCATTTCCACCTAGTTTACTAAAATTATCTTAATCATATGTTGAAGAGTTGTCCTCATTAATTTTTGATTTCTTCTTTGTAATAAGCTACTTTTATATAAATGGAAGGCCCATTTTGCACCAGTTGGTTCTATTCCATTATGCATCTACAAATACTACATCTTTCTCAGTGCTTACTTATTTTTAATGTATCTGATAGGACTTATCTTACCTCATTACATTTTAAGTTTATTGTCTAAAATTTTCTGTTTGATTCTCACCAGTCTGAATGTAAACGACTTCTACAGACTTACTGCTCCTTTGAGCACAAGAACCAAAGTCTTTGACGTGATTTTTTTCTTTTTAAGTGGTAGAGGAAGTACACAAGCCTGGAACCCTGAGCTCACTTATTCACTGAACAAACTTATTTGTACTGAACCTGCTTTCTGCCAAGTGTGGGAGGAGGATGCAAAGAGGGAAAGTGTGAGCCCTGCGTCAAGGAATTCATGATAATGAGGTTTTTATTCAAGGGGGAGGAGACTTGGTCCATCCCTGCTGGACCTCACGTGTTTTAAGCAGCAGGTAATGTCATTTTCCTCCTGTAGGTTTGGAATGGTTAAACATGAAGCGCCATGCTATGGCTTTATTGACAGGGCCTGCAGGAGCAGCACAGGCCAGAACAGAAACCATGCTCAGAAATAAATGAGTTCTCAGCAGAACCCACAGAATTGTCAGTAGCCTCGCAACTTGCTAGGTTTTTTTTTTCTTTCTCAGCAACCACATTTAGTTCCTTCTTACTTTGTAACACACACCAGCATTGTCTATCGTAGGCTATTCTCTGTTTAAATAATGAATTTGCTAATTAAAATTAATTACCTTGTCAATGACTATAAGGTACTGATTGACATGATTGCCCTGGTATAGTAAGAATTCTTTATTATGGAAATATTTTTTTAAAATAGTAGAGTACATTGTATAATGAACACCCATATACACATCACCTAGATTTTTTTCCATTTATTTTTATTTGTTTATTTATTATTTTAAAGATGTGGGGTATGATTCAGGATTAGGTATGCAAATGATCATGGTACAGGCAAAGTTTGGGCCTCACTTTTGTCCCCACTTTGCCTGGTTTGAGATCAGGTACCCTTATTGATGAAGTGTGTCCTTCCACTCCCTCCCTGGCAGTGTCCCACTACTGCCAATCCCTTTCTTATAGTATTATGATAATTGTTCAGGGTCTGCTTATGAGTGAGAACATGTGGCACTCAGTTCTTTGTTTCTGTGGTAGATTACAGTATTATAGACTCTAAATCCATCCAAGTTGCTGCAACTTGGATATTTTCCCCAAGTTGGCTGTGTAATATTCTATCATGTATATGTACCACTTTTTTTTTTTAGCCAGTCTGCTTTCGATGGGCAGCATAGGTGTTTCCATCTTTTTGCTATTGTGAATAATACTGTGATAAACATGCATGCGCAGATTTCTTTTTTATAGAGTGCTTTGAGTTCCTCTGGGTGTATTCCCAGAAGGGAGATTGCTGGGTCATATGGAAAGTCAATTTTTAAATCTTTTAGGAATCGCCACACTGTTTTCTACAGAGGCTATACTAGTTTACACTCCCATCGACAGTGTAGAAGTATTCCCTTTTCTCCATATCCTCTCCAGCATCTGTTGTTTTTTGAGTTATTGATGGTGGATATCCTGACTGGAGTTAGTGGCGCCTCAGTGTACATCACCTAGATGTAACAGTTGTTAACATATTGCCACATTTCTTCATCTGTTTTATTGTTGTTGAACTACTTTAAGGTAAATTAAACATCAAGACATTTCACCCCTAAATATTAGTATTCATCTCTAAAAGCAATATGACATTTTGCAACATAACAGCATTATTGGTACTTCTACCAAAATGAATGATAACTCCTTTCTATCATCATCTAATATCTAGTCCATGTTCAAGTTTCCCCATTTGTCCCCCAGAAGTCCTTTATTGTTGGCCTATTCAAAATAAGATCCAATCATAGGCTACATGTTGCATTTCACTATTTTATTTATTTTTCTTTTAAAAATTTCATTTATTTATGTATTTATTCATGATTTTATTTCTTAGGCTTTTAAAATCTAGAACATTTTCTACCCCCCAGTTTTTGGGGTATTTTTATTTTTCACAGCATTGATTTATAAGAGTTTTTTTATTTTTTCAGTATGGATTCCAAAGTTTTTCATGGATTTATTCGGTGGTATAGCTAAATTTCATTTGTCACTTTTGTACTAGTTACTGTTAACCTGAGTTTGTGTGTTTGTTTTCAATACTTTATCATATTACTAGCTTCAGTAGCTTAGAAGTTCGATCAGGTCTGACCTTGACTATTGTTTATTGGAAAAAGCATTCGTGTTCATTTATTTTTTATTTCAAAATTCTTCTAAATGTATATAGAATGTATTGGCTTGAAATTGATGCAAAATAATAAAGGTGGGTTCTAAATATTAGCTATGAATTAAAGGTTAATAAGGTTAATAAAAACCTTAATAACTAATTCTTCATGCTTAGTTTGCAGAAAAATTCCAGGAGGTGAAAGAAGCTGCCAAGCTAGCCAGAGACAAGTCCCAGGAGAAGATCGAGACCTCGAGTGATCATTCCCAAGTAAGACATTTGTCCATAAAATAAACCCAAATAGAATCAGTGATGGAGACTCTGTTCTTTGTCACTTCTGGCAAGAAATAGGGAATTTTGACAGTAGAGCATTTTGAAGACTTTTCAGCTGTTAACCTGATCACAGTAAGGTGAATGTGACATGTTTTTATGAGACTCTTGAATTTTTCAGGATGTGGTGCTGTATTTTTGAGAGAAAACAGTTGATGAGATTCGAGTCAAAGCATGCCCCTGCCCCTGAGAGACATTCTGTGGTCACTGTATTTAAATGCCTGTGGCACGGCAGCCACTGGCATTTACTTGCTGTGTTCAGAGATGAGGTCTGTATGTAGGATCTCATCGGTAGATGCAGGTACCTTGTGCCCTGGGGAGAAAAAAGCTTGATGCCAGAGAGCCCTTAGGTCAGGTGGGCAATGGTATTCCAACAGCTTTGTCTTACAGGAGATCTGGCTTTGCCGAGAGTTCAGTAGTCTTGTCTACTTAAAAGTGTGATGATCAACTGAAAAGGACCTTTTTTAACTTGAAATAAAAATTACCTGCATTCCTTGTGTCTAGATTGGTGTATGTAGTGGGGGGAGGGAGGCTTGACGTAGTGACAAGGTTATATGTAGAAAACCAGTAAAAGAGAGTCTTCAGGAACAGATTTGGGGGCACGAATAAGCATGATGTACTAGCAAGACTGCCAGGAGTCTGCCTGGCGGAGGCTGAGGCTGGGGCTGAGGTGTGTTGTGGGAAGAGTGGAGATGTGCTTGGAGATACTATGAAAGGCCTGGAATTCTTAATTAGCCAGTTGTTTATTTTATTTTATTTTTTGAGTTGAAGTCTCATTCTATTGCCCAGGCTGGAGTGCAGTGGCACGTTCATGGCCACCACAGCCTTGACCTGTTGGGATCAGGTGATCCTTCAACCTCAGCCTTCCAAGTAGCTGGAACCAATGGCATGTGCCACCATGCCAGAATGATTTTTGATTTATTGTAGAGACACGGTCTCGCCATGTTGCTCAGGCTGATCTCAAACCCTTGAGCTCAGATAATCCTCTCGTCTCCACCTCCCAAAGTGCTGGGATTATAGGCGTGAACCCAGCTTGTTTATTATTTATTAGCTATTTGTTTAATTATTCTTGGGTAGTTGGTGAATGTTGGAAGTGTCTCGTGACTATTAATCTGAAATTGATTCGAGGGTTACATGCAGGTTGTGAGGCAGTCAGGAAGTGACTGAGGGCAGGCAGATTGTCGAGGAGGTTGTAGGCTGGGGAGTGGCTGGGCCAGGGCAGCCAAGGGGCAAGTGAGGACAGTGCTCAGAAAGAGAACCAGGAGGCCTGGGCATCTTGAGCAGTCAAGACTGACGTTCTAGATTTGACCATCAGATTCCCAGAAGCAATAGCTGAAGCCTTGGATGCACAAAGAAGCGATAGGGAGGGGAGGATCAAAGCTGGAGCTCTGGGAAAGAATCGGGTTATGAGAAGGGAATCAGCAAGGAGGACAGGGAGAAATCCCAGCATCACTGAACCCCAGGAAGGAGCATGCCGGTGCTCAGAAAGAAGGGAAGAGAATGCTGAGAGGGACCCTAGATTTGTCAGCCACTGTAGCTGACCCTTGGGGATGGCAGATTTGGTGGCTTGAGATGTTTTGCAAAGGCAGAACCTGTATGTGTCTTGAGCTATATTCCCAATGCCCTATCCTGGGCTTATCATATAAATGATGCCCCTATAGATTTATGGAAGTGAATGTATATTAGACTTCAGGTGGACAGCAACTTTCCTGAATTTTTCTAATCTAATCTTTAATATAACCTAAGTAGCACTATTAATTTTGTATGCTAATTACTGAATAACCTCTAAGGATCTATAAAATTGGGAGTCTGAAATGGTTCATGGTCTGGAAAGTTTCTAATATACTGATTTTTCTGAATACCACATATTAGAGTGATATCTTTAAACTTTGATATCTGAATTTCTCTATATAAGATTTTGTTTTAATATATATCCACCAAAAGTATTTTGAGCCTTAAAAAAATCAAGTATAACCAATAAAATGTTATTTTATGTATGTATATTGATTATTTAGAAGTATGTTTTTGTTTCTGAGCTTTAGTTTTTATTTTTTTCCTGATATTTCCCCAGATAGGTAGAGAGAAAGAGAGAGAGAGAGAGATTATTGTACATTTTTCTTTTTCTTTTTATTAGAAATCACACAGTTGCTTGGTTTCTTGAATCTCTTAAAGTAGGAACACTTTGACGAAGATTTCCAAATAGTTGAAGTATTTAAACAACCTAATTACAAAAACATTTAATTTGGACTTTTTTGGTGACTCTAAAAGCAATACATATTTGTTATAGAAATGAAAAATATGCCATGTATGATGATGGAAATAAAAATCATCTGCTTTCTCATCACTTGAAAATATTTTGTTACTATTTTTTGTGTATCTCCAATATAATTTTCCAGTGTATATATCATATTACACTTTTAACCCTTTCTTAAACTTTTCATATCATGATCAAAACTTTTTAAATCTTTTCAAAGCTGTTTTAATGGCTAAACAGTACTCTAGTGTTTATATCACAACTTATTCCATTAACCTCCTATAATTTGAGACATCTGTATTTCTAATTTTTCATTCATGTAAATAGCACTGTAATGAATGTTTTTGCACATCTTTGTGCATTTGGTGATTTCTGCAGGATAAATTATTGAAATGGAAATATTGGGTTAAAGGTAGGAATATTTTTCAAGTTTTTGATGCATACTGCAGACTTAGCCTACAGAAATGTACAATTCTGACTCCTACCAGCAGTGAATAAGACTTTTTCTTCCCACACCCTCATCAGCAAAGCTTTGTTGATTTGACAGGTGAAAAGTGTGTCCTACTGACTTTTTTCATTTTGTATTTTGTTTCTAGTGAGATTAAGTATTTTTATGTATGTTGATTGTATGCCTTTCTTCTTTTGTAAGTATCAATTGCCTCTCCTTCCCTTTTCTTTTTAAGGTGGTCATCATTTTTTTTGTGTTGATTTCCAAGAGCTTTATTTTTTAACAATTTTGAACATATACAAAACCAGGCAGAATTTTATAACAAACCATCCTATACCCATAGTTCAGCTTTAAAATTAGGAATTTATGACCAGTTTGTTTTACCTGTGCTTCTGCTCCTTCCCTCGCTCATATTTTAAAGCCACCCCCAGGCATCTTCTCATTTCATCTATAAATATTTCAGTGTGTAGCTCTAAAAGATGAAGATGCTAAGAGTTTCTCAATATAGGAAAGGTAATATTTGCATTTTGTTTTGCATATGTGCTGCATATGTTTCCTTCCAGGTTTTTGTTTACATTTTAATTTTATTTATGGCATTTTTTTCCTGCAATGCAGAAATTTAAAGTTAGATTTATACATGATTCCCTTCTGGTTTATTCCTCTGCTTTTATGCTTACTGGAAGCTAAATAAGATCTTTCTTAGATCTTATCTAGAACTAGATAAGATTTCACCTCCACATAGTATGACTTATTACAGAAAACACTTCAGAATATTTATAACAATGCTAAATAGGAAAGGAGAGGCAGACATCTGTATCTGGTTCCTGTTTTTTAATGAGTGTGTTAATCTAACTCTCCGTAGCCCCACGATCTTTAAGATGTCTCAGCTTCTAATACATGTTTTTTCTCTATCTTCGTTCACTGGTTCTCATTCCTTGTTTATAGTGGTCCCTCTTCCCAGGTGACTTATGTCCAGTGGAGATATGTTTAAGGACACCAGGTATCCAAGCTTGGCAGGTTTATCTGGCGAAGTTTGAGTAAAAAGACTCTGAGCAATGGCCCCAGGTGTTCTCTTGTCAGTAAAGTACACAGACTTGATGAACTCCATATGGTCTCTTCAGGGCCTCTTTTTTTTGTTCTTGATAGTCTGTTAGCCTTTCTTTACGTTTGCCCTCACTGCTTTCTGACTGGATGAGTTGGTTTGTCCACACTCATAAACACAGTTTCTCATTATGCCTAACTTGCTGCTGATGTGAGGATAAGCAATAACTTGTGAAGATAATTCACTCTGACCAGGAATCTGGGTGTGAAACCCCATCTTCTACTCAGGCATCCAGCGTCAATGGGACGGACGATGAAAAGGCTTCTCATGCGGGTCCAGCTGACACACACCTCAAGTCTGAGAACGACAAGCTGAAGATTGCTTTGACACAGAGGTAAGGGTTGTTTAACATCCAGATCCTATTTTCTCCACATTCAGCACTTTCCTGGAATCCTTTCCTGCTGGGCAGGGTTTCAGGAAACTGGAAGACAAGACTGAGTCCTGCTTAGATTGTCCAGTCTTGTCTCCTGATGAAAGAAAGCTAACCAACTTCATGGCTCTGTGTCTGGCCGACCACATTAGCATTCATTCATGTGTGTGTGTCTATGTGTGTGTTGGTGCTTGTGCTTTGTTTTGTTTATAAATTTATAATTTATTCATATATGAGGTTGAGTCTCAAACATCTAAGAAAAGCCTATACAAGCCTAAGAAACTATTAAAAACATGAAATCATACAAAAATCAATAGCTTTCCTATGTACAAAAAAAAATCACATAAAATGGATATTTGGAGAAGATTTCCTTTAGAATATGAACTAGAACTACAAAATGCATAAGAATAAACTTAAATGTACAAGGTCTGTGTGAAGCAAACTATAAAAGGATTTTAAGGATTATAATGAATCGTTTAACAAATAGATCTATGCTATTGGGAAAAGCCTTGATATTTTAAAAAGTATCAATTTCCCCTAAATTTAACTAAATTTAACATAATCCCCATAAAGATATCAATAGGGTTTTAATTATTGATGACGGCATGAGCTGTGCTTATGATTTTGTATCTGGAGGATGAGGAGCATTTCCCAAAGGCTAGGCTTCATGGGGTAGGCTGGCCCCATGAGCATGCTCAGGGCTTTCTGCGCTCCTCACCAGAGGTTCATCCAGCTTTCCTCAGTCTCCCTTAGACTGGGAAGCTGCCCTCCAGAGTTGCCCATTTAAGAACGGTATCATCTTAGATATAGCTCAGGCTGCTGTAACAAAATACCATGCACCAGGTGGCTTAAACAACAAACCTTTAATTTCTCACAGTTCTGGAGGCTTGAAGGCCCAAATTAAGGCACCAGCAGATCTGGTATCTGATGAGGGCCTGCTCCCTTGTTCATGGACCACAGTCTTCTCACTGTGTCCTCGTGGTAGGGAGAGGAAGCAAGCCTCTCAGGACTCTTATAAGGACATTGATCCCATTTATGAAGGTTCCATTCTGATGACCTCATCTAATCCTAATTATCTCTCAAAGACCCCTCCTCCTAATACCATCACATTAGAGGGTAGGGTTCAGCATATGAATTTGGGGAAGACACAGGTGGTCAGTCCAAAACAGAAATCATCGTCTCATATTTCCCCCAATTTTACAGATGAGGAAACTGAGTTTCAAGAGGTAAAGTGACTTCTTGCCCAAGGCCACATGGCTATCACGCCACACTACCTGCTTTTCACTCAAGGCTCCAGCTGCAGACTCTTTAGGAACCTTCCAGAGGCAGCTAGTCACATTCCACAGCTGGAGCCACCAAAAGGGTCAGCACCCACCTCTTCAACAGCTAGCCTGGCCGGTGCTTGGAGCTTAATTCCTATGATCTGACCTCGAAATTCCAGAGATCACATGTGACCTTTAGATCTGACCACTTGCCTTTAGACTGTGGGTATTTGTCAGGTACTTCAAAGAACAAAACTGTGATCAGTCTCTTTTCTTACTCATCAGGCAGTTGTGAGAGCTGTTTTTGGTTGTGTAAGTCACAATGGGCTGCCTAGATGAAAATGTTTTGCCCCTAAAAATAAATGTTTTCAAATCGGAGTTTAATGAACAAGTGAGTTACAGGAATGGGCATGAAGCCATTTCCCTAAATTAGCTTACATTCTCAGTCATCAGCTCTAAAATTCATCAGATAATAACATTCTACTATTTTTTCAGCCAATGGTGTTTGAAACAGAAAGTACATATTCTCCAAGTCTTTGAGGTCCTTGAGGCTGAGATGAAAGATAACACATATTATTCAGACACAGTTATATCTACTTTTTAAAAATTTTAAAGCCTGTGGAAAGAGGACTCTCCTCAGCCAGGCAGAAACCTCCTCATGGGCTTGTCACGTGCAGCTCTGCCCTGTCTCCTCAAGCCACATTCAGTGTCACAGATATGTGAGCCTCAAACCAAGGAGGGTCTAAAGAGTACAGTGACTGAGGAGATTTTTAAATGTCTTCCTCACTGAGCACATAAAACCAAGGATAAAACATGAGGCCTCTGTAGTGACACCCTCAGACCCCAGGTCTCCTCACATTCCTGAGAGGGCATGGGGGCAGCCGGGACTCCCTCCTGCACAACAGGGGACTGATTCCCAGCCACTGTCTTCTCTGTCCTCAAGCCCTCAAGACTCTCCAATCTGGACTCCTTTGAAGTCTCTGAGGCACAAGCACAGTGGGACCATTACTACCCTGGAGCCAGGCAGTTTGTTTGCTTTTTGTGTAAACCCAGGTCCTTGAGGTGTCTGTGACTTTCATGAGATTCTCAGAGGGTCCTCGGGTCCACCCCTTCAGGACCTCTCTGTTCATGGCTCATTTCATGAAGGAGTGGGGGGCGAAGGGAGGGCTGAAAGGGTTTTTTGGCAGGGATCAGCAGGGAAGGGGGAGGGAGTGAGTCTTCGCCACACTCTGCAGTCTTCTTGCTTAGCTTTGTCTCTTCATTCTTTAAGAACTCTGTTCTCTTCAAAGGCGATTCTTTAAGAAGGTAGCTCACAGGGTGCCATGTTCACACTAGAGAGAGGAGACAGTCCTCCTGGCATTTGATCAGCGCAGTGGGGCTCACTGGGGGGAGAGGGTGCGGTCATCACCAGGCAGGGTGAAGAGTGGCAGAGGCCCCTTCCCCCAGGCGGGTGGAGGAGCAGCAAGACGAATGGCACCCACCCTGTCATCACCCCCTGTCCCCTGCCCCACAGTGCTGCCAACGTGAAGAAGTGGGAGATTGAGCTGCAGACCCTGCGGGAGAGCAACGCCCGGCTCACCACAGCGCTGCAGGAGTCAGCGGCCAGTGTGGAGCAGTGGAAGAGGCAGTTCTCCATCTGCCGCGATGAGAATGACCGGCTCCGTAACAAGGTGGGGTTCACGGTGGGCCGCAGGACAGCGGCCAGCAGGCGGGAGGACTCCAGGCAGGCGGCATGGCAGCCAGAGATAGAGCCACTGTGGCTTTTTATCGATCCCCACCCCTTCACTTTGCCCTCACCCCCATGGGCGGAAGGAAAACTTGCCGTCTCTCCCATGGGAACATTTCTCAATCCCTCTGCCTTTCTTAGTGGGAATTTAATCATATAAGTGTCTAGTTTATTACCTTTACTAAACCGAGTTTTATCATCCTATGACTACAGAGAAGATAAAGTGGAAATGTCAGCCTTGTCGCTCTCAAAGAGCACCCTCTGACACTTGTCATGGGTTGGCCTTTTATCGTGGATGGGCTTCCCTTGGTTCAGTGACCTCCAGTAGAGGAAAGGAACCAGAGGACCAGTGAGAAGACAGGTTCAGGAAATGACAACGATCATATGTGTGGAAGCACTGCTTCCATTCAAATCAGTGCTTCTAAACATGTTAATTTGGAAGCGAACAAAAGAACATAGCTCTTGAAGTGTGAGAAGAGTGAACATGGGTGGGTGCTGACCAGTCCTAAGCCCTCCACTCTCTGACCTTGACATGCTGACATTGTGATTTTTTTTTTCGGAATTCACCTATAACCTTCCCTGTAATTAGTCACTTATACCCTTGGTAGCTCTGCAGAGTTGATAAGGTGGTTTTGGGGTGGCCAGAGATTCCCCCAATGAGGCCTTGAGGTTTCTGTGCTAACCTCGTTTTGGTGGTGGTTAATCCCCCTGGCTGTGAACACACAAGACTTTGGAGTCTGCTCTGTCAGTGCAGGGTTTCAGGGTGACACATCCCATTTAGGTTGGTGTTCATGTTCCCTTGACCCCCGTTTATCAGCTGCCCTGCACAACCCAGGGGGAGCCACTGCAGACCAGCCCTCAGTTGCCTCATCTTACTTTGGTGCTGATAGTGCATGAAACAGCATCGTGTCATTTTTTTTTCATCTCAGTGCTGAAAGTGCTGACAGTCAAGGGCACCAGGCCCATTGCTGACTTTGCACGTTCCCATCTGAGGCTTGGCAGATCTGCCTGCCAGAGAGATCGATTGTCCTTTCTTTTATTTTCAAGAAAAGAGCTGAGTTCCTCATTAGGTGTGAGCATAAGAACCAAAGGCAGTGTGGGGAATGTAGGAAGAGCATCACACAGAGCCTGCTCCCCTGGAGGAGTGTCCACTTCCCTGGGAGGGAAGCATCAGGAGCTTGATTTCCAGGCTGGAAGTCGAAGTTAGTGTGATCTCCAGCTGCTGCGTCAGCCAGTGGTTCAGACCCTGAGGGCTGGTGCAGGCTAACTCTGAGGAGCGGCCTCATAGCAGCCCCCGCAGGCCCTTCATATTGAGGACTACTGCTACCTATTAGTGGGGACCCTATCACTACAGTGCTTTTGTGTTACCCATGAGGTCCACCCGTACTATCCACTCTGTGCATACTTTTTGGCCCCTGGGAAATGCTCAGCATCAGATGGCAACATCAGGGCATCAGGCCTTTGCACTCCCATTCCACATGGGTAACCCTTTTGAGGGGTTGACTTGAGAAGGAGGAAAAGATGCAGTCTGAGGATTTGTCACTGAGCCTTGAGAAAGAGGCCCACAGGCCAGGCCCCTTCTGCAGGCATCAAGAAGGGAAGGTCACCTTGATTAATAACGTTTGAAATGTCATTGCTTCCCATTTTGGTAGCCACTGTCCCATGGGGTTACTCAGTTTTCTACCCTGCTGACTTAAACACTTGAGATGAAACAGAATAATTCAGGACATGATTAAAATGATGTAAAAATCATTCTGGGGAAAAGCAGATCAATTCAGGAAACATCTGGCACTTGCTTGTGACAGGTCCTTAAAGCAAACCTAAAGTTATTCCTCTGTGGCCACGAGAAGAAACCAGAAGCCCAGAGCATCCTGAAGCCAAATTGTGTGATTTATTTGGCTCTGCTGGTTTAACTAAGGCATCCCATGCAAGCAGGGGCAAACCACCCCATTGGGGAGCTGGATGGAGTTTGTTCATAGCCACAAAGAAAAATTGATGAGTGGGTTAGTTAGTTTATGATTTATTTTATTTTTATTAATTTTAATTTAATTCAATTTTATTTTTTGAATTAGGGTCTTATTCTGTCACCCAGGTTGGAATACAGTAGCATGATCATGATAATCATAGCTCACAGCAGCCTCGACCTCTTGGGCTCAGGCAATCCTTCCACTTCAGCATCTCAAGTAGCTAGAACTGCAGGCATGCGTCATTATGCTCAGCTAATTTTTAAGTTTTTATTGTTTTTGTAGAGATGAAGTTTTGCTGTGTTACCCAGACTGGTCTTAAACTCCTGGGCTCAACCAATCTGCCTGTTTTGGCCTTCCAAGTGCTGCGAATACAGGTGTGAGCCACCATGCCCGGCCTTCATGGTTGGTTTTAAAAGAAAGCAGGCTAACCACCATGGCTCACACCTATAATCCTAGCACTTTGGAAGGCTGAGGCAGGAGGACTGCTTGAGGTCAGGAGTTCAAGACCAGTGTGGGCTACATAGCCAGACCCTGTCTCTACAAAAAAAAAAATTGTCTTTAATTATCCAGTCATGGGAACATACACCTGTAGTCCCAGTTACTCGGGAGGGTAAGACGGGAGGATTGCTTGAGCCCTGGAAATCAAGGTTTCTGTGAGCTATGATTGCACCACTACATTCCAGCCTGGGCAACAGGGTGAGACCCTGTCTCTAAAAAAATTTTTTTAAATAAAAATAAAAGAAAGCATAAACATAACTGTGGTGATCTCTTGTTTAGTGACTAAAATAAGCTAGCACCTCTGCTTTAACATGTGATGTTTACTGCAGATTGATGAACTAGAAGAACAATGCAGTGAGATCAACAGAGAGAAGGAAAAGAACACCCAGCTGAAAAGGAGAATCGAGGAGCTGGAGGCAGAACTCCGAGAAAAAGACACAGTGAGTAATGGTGCTCTGAGCAGGGATCCTTGGAATCCTCTGGGCCTTGGGGTTATTTCCTCCCAAGGAAACAGTGAGTGACCTGGGGCATGTGACCAGCCCCAGCAGCCACCTGTATACCAACATGGAGAGACAGCCAGGAGCCACAGCAAAGTGCAGATACTCCAGAGCAAAGGCCTCCCCAGTACCCCTGCAGTCCCTCTTCACTGTGTGTATTATATAGTCAGCCACTCAGGTCCAAGAGGGAGCCGAACATTTTACAAGATACTCAACACTTTTATAGATAATCTGGCTGGGCATGGTAGTTCACATTTGTAATCTCAGCACTTTGGGAGGCCAAGGCAGGAGCACCACTTGAGGTCAGAAGTTCAGCACCAGTCTGGGCAATGTTAGCGAGATCCCAACCTCTACAAAAAAATTAACCGAGCATGGTGGCATGCACCTGTAGTCCCGGCTACTCAGAAGGCCAAGGCGGGAGGATCGCTTGAGTCCAGAAGTTAGAGGCTGCAGTGAACTATGATCACACCACAGCACTCTAGCCTGGGCAGCAGAGCAAGACCCTGTTTAAACACACACACACACACACACACACACACACACACACACACAATCTATCATCAGAAGTTGAGTTCTGCAGTCAAATTAATGCAGCTAGAGCCCCCAGTCATGCAGTCATTTATTTTCTAAGGGGCAGAACAGTTAAGTACGCACATGTTGGAGACCCTCGATAAGTTACTAAACCACTCTATGCCTCAGTTTCTCCATCTAAAAAGCAAAAGTCATGAGAATATATGCCTTTTATGGTGTATGGACTTCATGCCATAATGTACGTAACACACTTAGTTCTTGGAATTATTGATGGTCAAGTTTTAACATCATCACCTTTATTTATGCAAACAGGACAGGTTCCAAAAGCTGCTTCCATTAGTGTATGTACAAGTTGGTGATTTTCAGGAATACAGTTTCTCTGACATGCTTTTATGTTCTTTCTCCAATATCTATCTCCTGTAGGAGTTGAAAGATCTCCGAAAACAAAGTGAAATCATACCTCAGCTCATGTCAGAGTGTGACTATGTCTCTGAGAAGCTAGAGGTAAGTGGGGGTAGGGGAACATATGTCCTGGTTCAGGCGAGAAGGCAGCTGTTACTCATATATCCACTCTCTCTCACATTCACAGGACTTTCTGTTCATAAAAAGCCAGTGGTAACTGCACACCAGATAGCATTGCATGCCATCCCTGGTCCCAGGGGCAGACTCAGCAGCACTTGTCTTTTGATTTTTCCAGTTATATGAAGTGTCCAATATATAACTGTCATGTAGACAACCATTTCCCTCCCACACATGTCCAGACAGAACCACAAAGGCAGTGAGGAGCAAGGGGCGGGAAAGTGGGCTGAGAACACAGGGTAGGGATGTGAATCCACCTTCGTCACTCCCTGCCAGTGACCTTGGGCAGGCCTTCCTCCCTAGCCTCAGATTTCTGATCCATAAAATGAGGGTTTTCAGGTCTTCCTTCACCTCTGAGGGTCTCCTCCCTTCATGCCCTTTGACATACAGAGGGTTTGATTTAGTTACACAATCCCAGTATTGTTGACTGGTTTCTGTGCACATATTCAAAAAAGACTCAATTTATGCCCACAAAATAAAACTCTTATTTGATATGGAGAATGCAAGGCTTAAGGCTCATTTAAGAATCCACAGCCATTCTGTTTTGGGGCCTGCATCTGATTTACCTAGATGTACCTCAGTTGGCTTGTGGGGCCCAGCTATGCAGAACATCACCATGGCAACATCATCAGAGGGTGCACAGACTGGCTGTCCTCTCCCTGAGTCACTGGCATGGCCAGTCCTCCCTCGCTGAGGGCCAGAGGCCGGTCTGGGACTGAGAAGGCCACCTGCACAGGCCGTACCTGTCTGTGGAACCAGGGGAACAAGCTACACTCCCATCTGTCCTGTTTCTCATAATGGAACTAAAAGTGGCCTCTGCTGGTCACTTGGGCTGGGATTTCAGGCCTTCTCCCTCAGGCAGAACTCTGTGTTCTGTGTTAGGTCTTGGGTTTTCAGGCCAGAAGTTGGTGTACACTCAGCCTGTTGGCCCCTCTGCAGGAGAATAGGCAGGAAAGGAGGGGCACACCGAAATGCCTGCCGCTTCCCTTCTGACGTTGTGGTCACAGGCTTATGGGTTGGGGACTTAACAACATGTCTCTAGGGAGTTTAGGCCCTGGCACCCTGCCACAGTTCTGATTGATAGAGAATGATTGGTTCACTGTGGCAGGTTTCGGCGGAAGACACCCATCCCTCTGTTTCCCAGACTCTTCTCCCTTTCCTTTTGCCAGGCAGCAGAGAGAGACAATCAAAACCTGGAAGACAAAGTGCGTTCTCTGAAGACAGACATTGAGGAGAGCAAATACCGACAGCGCCACCTGAAGGTGGAGTTGAAGAGCTTCCTGGAGGTGCTGGACGGGAAGATCGACGACCTCCATGACTTCCGCAGAGGGTTGTCCAAGCTGGGCACTGACAACTAGGGCTGGGCCGAGGCCAGGGCCCCGCTTGTGAGTCCCAATGTGTGTGTGAGACCAGATAGGACTAGGACGTTCTCCGGTTTGCGTTGCTTCTGTAAATGCAGGCGCAGTCTGTCGTGTTTCCAAACCAGTTGTGCCGTCCACTCCTCTCCAGAATAGAAATCTCTCACTTCTCTGGCCTTGTGAGGTTGTGGACAACTGGAAGATTCTGACTCAGGAATCCAGAACTAGGTCTACCTTAAACATTTACACAGTCAGGGCAGGGATGTTTATATCTTTCTCAAGGGCTGTTGCAACCATGTGAACTGGAAAAAAAGTATTTTCTAATCTTAACATCAATATTCTTTACACCAGGCTATTTTGCTCCTTTTATTGAAAAGCGTTCAGAATATTTGAATGTCCAACAGACATCAGTTCCAGGGGCAAGGAGGGAACAACAGCCCTCTCAGTAAACACTGAGATGTTTTAAAACAACCATTTAGTGGAGACTTATCCAGAGAAAAGAAAACAAGTTTCTAGTGGGTACATTTTCTGGCATGGGAATCACCTGCATCCGCTCTGCTCCCCTCTCACCCCCAAGTTTGTACGGTTGCGACAATGCTCCTTTTCTTGGTTTTAGTTTCTGAGCAGATGATTGTGCTGTGGGAACAGCACGCAGTGAGGGTACCGAGCATAGTGCCTGGCACAAACTAGGAGCTTAATAAATACTTGTTCAATTTAAACATATAAATAAGATTTAGTGTTTTAATCAAAACCCACAGCAGAGTTCAAACCCCTGTTGAATGATATACCCTCTTTGCTGTGCTGGGCAGTTATCAGAAATGAATGAAACTAACTGTGGTCAAACCCAAGGGTTGGCTTGAGTGGTCCTGGGGAAGGGAAGGAACAACAGCAGTAGAAGTCCCAGGAACCGGTCTGAGCCCTCCCCAGGAGCCTGTCCATGATGTTCTGCTCCTGAAGAGTCTCCAACTCTGGGACTACCTTCTTCTCCAGTCACAGTGGCCTGTGACTTGGGGATTCCAGGACCACTGGCTGCCCACAGTATAAGGACTGCCATACCTATGGGGACCTGGGGTGGGATCCTATTATGAGTTTGGACAATTGAGAAGAAATCACACAGGCCCATAAAGGAGAGAGAGTTAGCTCACCTGGCAAGCGTTGGCCTTTATGACAGGAATTCTGCCCAGCTCTGCCTCTTGCCTTTCTCAGTTCCTGCTAAGGAAGGGACTGGAGCCATAAATCTCTCCTCTCTGACAGAGCTGTTCAGTGGGACCAGCGGGGATTTGGGTGCTGCTAACATTTCTTCACTGGGAGAGGTTGCCCATGCATAGCAAGCATTTAAAATCCTGGCCCCACACAATCCTGCCTTGGGCTTAGGGGAGGCTTTGGTCCCTCTTACCCTTTTGAAGACCACCTAAGGGAACTTCTCCCTCTAGAAACATTTTCTCCCATGGACATGGTTGGTTTCTCCCTGCTGAATTTGGATTAATGAGCACACAGCCTCAGGAAGGGGATGTGGGGTTCACACACATGTGACCTGGGCCCCAAGATGAGTGTGCAAGTCCTGCTGCTCTCCTTCCCCTCAGGGAGATGCCTCTCTAAGCAGGGAAATCTTGTTTGGGATGGGAATAAAAGGGACAGCTGGTGGTCTGGAGCACCACTTTAGGGGAGACCCCATTGAGGGGGACCTTCTGAATACAGGACTCTTGGCAGACAGGAAATGGAAATCGTGGTTGGTCCCGTTGGTGACTCAGGATAGGTTGCTGCTATCCCTGCCTTTTCTCCAGACCTCCAGGACAGCAGCTCCCTACTGAACTGCACCAGGAGACCAGAGAGCTGGGCCAACCGTGAGATGGCCCCGAGACCCAGCAGCAGGACTAGCCTGGTCCAGGTCTGCAGACTGGCCCTGTGGCTGCCCAGGAGCAGTGGACACTGGGATTGCAAGCAACCTCAACTTTTGGGTCTTCAGATGACCTCCACCTGTGTCTGTTAGGTGACTTAGCAATCTAGAAGGAGCTATCTCGAATGACTGGAGCATGCTCGGGTAACATATTCATAGTATAGTTGCTGAAGCTACTTGTATGTTTCAATAGCAGTAACTTTAGAAATTGTTGGAAGTGGAAGTATAGCAAATGCTGAAAGGGCCATTACCATGGTCAGCTGCTGTGCAGTCGAGACCCATGACTCCAGCTGACCAATTCTTGAAGAATTTGGCAAGTATCTTATAGGTAGCAGGTGAGACACTTAGGTTTCCTGCAATGCATTCAGCTCTGAAACTGTTGCAGCCAGGAGCTAAGAATAATAGGGACTCTTTCAAAGCGAAAGGTAAGTTGGGTTTGGCAGTGAAAGCACAACTTTACAAAAACTGAATTTTCTGCTTTTTCTGCTTTTCTCTAAAGATCTTAGTGTTTCTTCAATTACTTTCTCTTTTTGTAATTTCATTTATATATTTTTAGAGATGCTTTTTCTGCTTTTCTCTAAAGATCTTAGTGTTTCTTCAATTACTTTCTCTTTTTGTAATTTCATTTATATAGTTTTAGAGATGGAGTCTCGCTCTGTTGCCAAGGCTGGAGTACAATGGTATGATTATAGCTCACTGTGGCCTTGAACACCTGGGCTCAAGCCATCCTCCCACTTCAGCCTCCCAAGTAGCTGGAACTACAGGCACACACCTCCATACCCAGCTAACTTTTTAATTTTTTGTGGCGATGGAGTCTCAGTGTGTTGCCCATGCTGGCCTCAAACTCCTGACCTCAAGCAATCCTCCTGTCTTGGGTCCCTAAAGTGCTGGGATTATGGGTGTGAGCCACCATGCCTGGCCTACTTTCTTTGTAAAATAATAACAATAATAATAATAATAATAATGGGCCAGGAGCAACCTGGACAGTCAGTCAAGAGATTGGTCCTGTCTGACAGCCTCGGGTACTGTGAAGGGTGAATGTGATACAATGAAAATGACCTGCTCAGTTCATCCTGATTTTCCCTTGAGATGGCGTGTCAAGCCCTTATTTATTGTTCTATCTAGCCCAGTCTCCGTGCTGTCACATGACCTTAGGCCAAATGCAGGTAGGATGTAATATCACAGCCATGTTGTGCTACCTGGAAGATATAGAGCCAGGACTGCACTTTCAGTTTCCAAACGAGGAGATTTCCAAGAAAGTCTCCTGATTTTGACATTTTCAAGACTGTGTCTGTCGTTTCTGCATCCGAGAAACCTGGGGACTGAAAGAGGCCAGGTAAAACTTGGAATACTTTAACCATGAAGATCTTTAAAAATAACTTTTCACTCCAGTCAGGACCCAACCGAATGCATTTTAAAGTTGGAAGTGGTGAGGAGGGCCTCCTAGTGCTCAGGGAATTTAAAACCATCTGAGTGACAGTGTGGGACAGTGTGGTCAGGCCTTGAAGGGAAAAAGAGCCAGTGTCCACACGAGACTCAGACTGTGTGGTCCATCAGTTTCATCTCTCCTGTATGGAGAGAGGCTTTAGGCCTTAACTGGCGAAGAAAACTGGGCAATAGTCATTACCTATATTTTGCAGGCAGGAAGCAGAGACAGAAAGTGACACACCCAGGGTCATCACTCAGCTGTGACCAGCAGCATGGGCTCTGATCCAGGTCTCCTGGACCTTGGTACAGTGTCTTTCTGAGCCATACCACTGTTCTCACTTTGGTGATCGTTGGATGCCAAGAGAAGAGAATTATCTTATATCCTGATAAGAGTACATTGCAGCTATATTATTTTAATGTGTCCACAGCAAAGGACAATCTACAAAGCTATGAATGTTCATTGCAAACAATAAGTTCCATTTTTGACTGACTCTGGTTTTACAGGGATCTTTCCAAGAGAGTTGGTGAAAATGGTGTCCATGCTCTGAGAGACCAGTTCTATGGAACACAGCCTCACCCTGAGTTCTTTGTCGGTGGCTTTAGTGGAAGCAGAGCAGTTTGTTCAAAACACATGGGAGGCCCTGTGTTAAGCAGAGGCTTAACCAGAGTTCTGGCTTGTGGGGTTGGCTTGTCCACTCTCCACCCTCCTCCCAGAGATGAGCTCCTTCCAGTGGAAGGAGCATGCCTTGCTCAGTGATCAGAGTGGGTTGAATGGAACTCAGCCACCATCAGGAAAACTGTGCAGAGCGGTGATTGGGTTCAGCCAGCAGGCTCCACGAGCCCAGTCTTTGTGGTAGTGATTGGCAGGCACCTGGCTGGGGTGGACTGCATTAGGCGTGAAACATCAATTAAAGGGTGGAGCATAATACCGTCAATATGCTGCCCAGAAGCCTCATGATCTCCCCATTCTTCAGAGGGCTCTTTTTCTATAGAAAAGTCTCCTCTGTAGAAACCAGGAGCGATTTGGACAAGAGCCAACCACAGGATGTGCCAGGACCTTATGGTAGAACCTCATGTGGGGCTGGGTGCGTCCTTGGGAAGAAGGCAGCCATGATGTGTCTTAGTGTAGATACTAGAAAGAGGCTGCCTGGTGAGAGGGAGCTAGCTGCTGCTCTCTGAGAATAACCAAAAGTGGATTGTTGGTGTCATTCATCCTTCTGGAAGTTATCATTGTTTTATTCCCTTGAAATGTCACTGGATTTTGAAGAACCTGCAATATAAGCCAGAAGCTTGCAAATCAATATGTATATTTTTAAATGATATCATTGTTTAAAAGGACCCTAATTTCTGAGTACCTGACTTCCCCAAAGAAATAGTATGTATTTTGGAGATGGTGAGGTTGCCAGCTTGGAGAGAGAATCCTGTCTAAAAATGTTTGTTATTTAGAGTCTCTTCCTATCTCAAGAATAAAGGGTTTCTAGTTTCTCTTTAAACACTAACCAGGCAAGAAGTGACTTTGGTAAGAATTTTGAGCTGGATGAAATGTTCTAGTGGAGTGTGCATGAGTGTGTGTGTGTGTGTGTGTGTGTGTGTGTGTGTGTGTGTGTGTGTGTGTGTGTTGTAGAGGAAGCAGCAAGGGGAAGTGGGAGAAACAATAAGGAAGAGTTTAAAGAATATGTGTACCTAAGAGGAGGCTTTATTTCAGTATTTCTGGTGTGATGCTCTATGTTCTGGAATTCATTTATGAGAAAAGTTTGCGGGTCTTTTGTTTGAAGTGAACTGTACAGTGCCCTACTCTCTTTGACGGTGCACAGCCTTGTTACAGAGTGGTCTCCCAGGTCCCAGAGACCCCTGACATACCTGACAGAAGCTGACAAGCCATGGTGGAGTCCCTCGTGGTATACTTTGGCAGGTGATGGGCAGGTGCAGCTGTGAGGGTGTATTACTGTTTTTACTCTCTTATACCATTTTTAATAGAATGTCCTGACTTTACATCAGTTGTAGCAGTGTCTTATGATGTAATAGGGAAGAAGAAATTTCTTGCATCAAAAATAAGAGTTTAATAATAAGTATGGAATGGATAAGTAGACTTTACCACGAGTACATTTGTTTTTTTCTTAAAAGTTTTTTGGGTACATGAATAATATATACTTTTTTTTAAAGAAACTGTAGATGAGTGAAAAGAAAAAAAACACCTGTTTACACCATCTGATCATAACCACTGTTAACATTTCCGTATATATATTTTCAGACTTTTTTCTATGCATCTGTATTTGTTTTATTATTTTTCCAAGAAATATAGTTATATTATGCATACTGTTTTATTGTTTTATACCTTGTTTTTTCCCCTTTTAATGCTATATTGTGAATGTATTTCTATATCAGTAAATGTGGGATT